TTTGAAACCAGAGGTTCTGAAATGGATGAATGATTTGGCTAAAGGACGCAAACAGCTCAAAGGTGAGCGCCTCTTCTCTCAGAGAGTCACGGGTCATAATGGCATATTTTGCAGGGCAATTGCAAGCCATTTCCACCTGAGCCTTCTTAAGCTTTGGTTTCCTACTTGGACTGGTGCTCCATTTGAGTTAACACCCCTGGCTCCCCACATCATCCAGGCTCTCCTAATAAACCTCCTGCAAAAGAGAACAGGGACCTTCAGCCAACCTGTGGGGGTTCTAACCCCCCTGGCTACTGGATTGTGAGAAACAAAAGTCACCTAAGGAGTCATCTACTCCACAGATTCATTGCATATGTGAGCATGCTAAACCCGGAGGGAAAGTCTTGTGGCTTGGAGGGGTTGAGTCAGGCAGGTGACTTGCCTCCCTGGCCAGTCCAATTCTTCCTTTGTCCCTTGCTGGGATGGTGATGTATTATTAACACTAAGAGCAATCACTGTATACTCATAAAAGTCATTTTCTTTTTGTTTGTTCTGTAAGTCAGTATTTAGATATATGAGCATTGGTCCAAATGGAAAGGAATAATAACTTGATGGTATTAAACTGTAATGATGTAGCATGTTTATAAAAACATGCAGGTTGGCATGGTGACTCATGCCTGTAATTTCAGCATTTGGGAAGCTGAGGCAGAGGGATTGTTACAACTGGGCTACATAGTAAGTTGCAGGCAAGCATGGGTTACAGTTAGACACCAAATCAAACATCAACATAAACAAAACAGGAAGCCAGACCATAAAACTAAGTGAAAAAAGAGCTATATTACATAATTGAAGAATCAGTATAAAGGGTGTTATTTAAATGCAATTCCATGCTAGGTCCCAGGTGGGAATATTATTACTATTTTTAATTGTCTAGAGTTGCATACAGCCACATTGTTAAAATGGTGGGCTCTGGATTTTGAAAGTTAACATTTAGGGGCTGGAAAGATGTCTCAGTGTTTAAGAGTACTTAGTTCTCTTCCAGGGGACCCGAGTTTAGATCTCAGTACCTACGCTGCACCACCCGGCTCTAGTTCCTGGGAATTCTGAACTCATCTTCTGGCCTCTGGGGGCACTCACACTCACATAGCAGAACACACACACACACACACACACACACACACACACACACACACACACACACACACACAAAACAATCTCTAGACACACACGCACACACACACACACACACAATTAAATCTTTGGATAAAAAGCATTAGACAAGAATGTGAACCATGTCAATTAGGGCTGGAATTCCCAGTGCCCCTCTCTCAACTCTTCTGCTTCCTTAGTTCTGCATATGTAATACATTAGTGCCTATATTTCCAGAAGCCTTACCACAGACACAGCTTTTACCATGCACACCAACAAACAGCTGCACATAGAATTTCAAGTGCTCCAGTGGGGGGGGCAGGTGTTCCTCCAGAACTCTGCTGCAATCCAAACCCAACTTCTTGTCTCAGACAGCATTTCACCCCAGGAGAGCCCAGCCTCTAGGACTCTGTCTGCATGGCAGATTGAGTGCTTGAGATACTGGTCATGGTTAATGTGGACTTTGCCAGCCAGAAGCCATCACTGGCATTGCTGTTTGCTGGGGAGGGAATTCCTGAGAAGCTCTGTTTTCATTTGGGCCAGCGAGTCCTTCCTGCTAGTGGTAACTCAAGGAATTTCTCTTAGAACTAAAGCTGAAGCTTTCAGAAGAACAAGGGAGTACTCCCAAAGGCCCCCGGAGAAACCTCTCCTGTGAACAGCCTCCAGTGCCCAGAGAAAATGGCAAGTTGGAAGCTGTGGGTCCAGAGCCAAGCTCCTCTGGAGAAGAGACTTCAGATGCTGTGATGATGGAGAAGAGAGACCAGATTGCTCCCCAGGATGATGTGAAGGTACCTCACCACGTCAGCATGGGGTAGCAAGGGCATGCTTTGGACCAACTGTCAGAGCACTTCCCCACTGTTGTCATGTCTTTGGAAGACTGCTTCCAGCACTTCAGCCTTTTGAGTTCCTGGTGGGTTAAAGGACTGTGACCTAGGAGTGTTGCTAGGATGTGCCACTTCCGGAGGAGGTCTGTGCTGGTGGAAGGTGGTAAAGATGGGGAGGATATATTCTATGTTCCACCAAATAAGTAAATAAACCAAAGTCTAGAGTGTAATTGTATTATCGGTAAAGAAGAGCTCCAGTATAGGCTCTTCCCCATATGTTAAAGTGTGATAAAAAAGGGAGAGAGATAAAGTAAGGGTTTCATGTCCTAAGAACAGAGCTGTGATTTCTAGGGAGTGATAGGTTGGAACTAAAGATTTCAGCTTTAGAAATCTTAGTTTTGGAATCAGAGGCAGTTGGATAGAGTTGTCAGTTAGGTATTAGGGTACATAAGCCTGGGGCTTAGCCAAAAAGATTTATTACATTTTATAAAGAAAAGCCGCACTTACCTCGGTAATCCCTCCTCACATTGCTTATCTGTGTTTCCATTTCACTTAGGCCAGGGGAGCTTTCTTGCGTCCCTTCCATATCAAAGGTGAGGCTCATGTGGTTGACCCTTCCATCCTGTGTTACAGCGGCAGTTACCTTGTCCCTTCTCTAAGTACCTTATGTCATTTCCTGCCTCAACCTATCACATTTCTTGCACAGAAGGACTATCTGTTGTTCAAAGACTCTTAATGTCCATACGTAATAGGTATTGAATGTAAGTTTGCTGAGTGAATGTCTGAATGAACAAGCGAATGGCATCTGACTCTGGAATGAAGTTTTGTTGAGAAGTATGATCCCTTTACCTATTCTGCCAGACATGACCAGGTCTTAATAAGGCAGGACCATATACCGGATCTTAGAAGGCCTATATGTCCCATCTTAGTTTTTTACTCTGGGGACTTGTGTTCTGTAAGTACACAGGGGACCGGAGTCACCTCCATCATCCTTTTACCTTGCAATGTGCAAAAGATCCAATGTGTTTTGAGTCATGAAGGGACATCAGTGAGGTTGGGTCACAGGCTGGTATGTTGTCTGTCACATATAGCTAGCCTATCCCCCACCCCAACATTGTAGACTTTGGTGACGGCCAGTGGATAACTTCCATATACATGGCACACTCACACATATCTGGGGTTTCCCAGTCATTAGTATTTCCAAGGGACTTCCTTGTATTTCATAATTATTTTGTCTATATCTACACAAACATCTTGGTCAGTATCAACATCCCAATGATTGATTGATCAACATCCTCTGATTAGGGGCTACCTCTGAATAGTCTGCTTGGCTATTAATAAATTAGTGGATTAGTCCATTGATGAGGTCATCAACCTCATGATCCAGTCACTGCTCAATAGAGCCATCAGCTGGGGAAAAGACACAAAACATGAGCTATTTGGAGAGACACTTTGTATCCAGACCTAAGAGTAGATGATTGATGGACAGTTACACATTTCCAAAAAGATCCAAAATGCTTGTTCTATGAGTTCAGGTAAATCAAGACAGAGAAGTTATGTGGGGACTTCTGTCCCGGGCTGCCTCTCTGCTGAGAGTTGGGAAATAAGAAACAATTTAAATAGACAAGGATTTTGGTAAGTACTGTGCATGGAATGAAGAAGATGAAAGACAGAAAGCAAAAGGAATAGTTTATTTCTTGAGTAGGGTTATTAGAAGGACAAAGGCAGTTGACGTTTAATCAAGAAAGTGAACAGGCCAAAGAAAGCAGCAAAGAACATTCTAGCTAGAATTCCCAAGTACTAAGGCTATGAAAGCAAGAAGCAGATTTTGTTTGTTTTGTATACACAAGAATCTCAGGACTGAGGGCTGAGATATGGGGAGGCATATGAGATACAATCAGAAAAATCTGTGACCACTGGGATAACTCTGGACTTTGCAGGCTGTGAAATGGAGTAAGGGGTGGCCAAGTGGTAACAAAAAAACAGTGCAAAATGATAAACATTTAGAAGATCTGATGACTGTGTGAATAAATCTTATGAGAAGGTGGAATGGGTGGCTTGATCAACATTAGTAGAAAGACATACTCAAAGCATATTGTAGTTCAAACAAGAGAAGATGTTGAAGCCTCAAAACAGTGGTTCTCAAGCTTCCTAATACTTCAACCCTGTAGTACAGGTGTTCTGGTTGTGGTGATCCTCCCAAACCATAAAATTATTTTCATTGCTACTTCAGAACTGATTTTTCTACTGGGTATGAATCATAATGTAAATATTTTTGGAGACTGGTTGGGGTCTACAGGTTGAGTACTACTGCCCTAGAGGGAAGAAAGCAAGAAGAATCCATGGAGACTGGTCTGTTTCCTGACACATCACAACTATGGGAGGAGGCAGATTTTAGGGTGGAGCTGAAAATGTTGAGGACCAACCTATGCTGGGGCACTTTAAATTTAAGATCTTTGAGGAACTGCGTGTAACCAACCCTCCCAGTTTGCACAGGGCTCTGATTGGTTGAGCACTGAAAACCCATGCTCTGGGAAATGCCTTGGTTCTGGGCAAGCTGGCATGGTTAGTTGGCCTTCGAGACAACAGAGTGAAATGAGTCTAGAGACAAGAACCTGAGCGCTTAGAAGTCATCCTTGCATAAATGGCAGAAATTCTCTTATTGCAAGCAAAGCAAAGTATCTACTGAGTGGCTTAATGATTGTCAGAAGCCACTTCAAACAGACCTGGGAGCTTTCCAACACAGCCAGGGCCTTTTAGAGAGGGGCTATCTGTAGCGGATGTGCAAGCTCTGATACCTCATTCCCATACTGCTCTGGAGAAGTGTAACCATAGGAAGTCATGGGCTAAGTACCAACAATGAGTCCAGAGCCCACAGCAGAACTAAAGGACACAAAATTATAGCATCCAGCCGGTTCCCTCCCTCCTCAACAACCTGTGGCATGTCAGTTCATCTTGGTAAGTGCAGTTTCTTAAAGCTCAAGTGGATAGGTGACTTTCATCTGCATTTCTTGCCATACACCTAAACCACCTTAACTATTAAAATTTCCACGGTGAATTATCTCTCTGCCCCCCTTCACTCCCCCCTGACTTTTAGGGAATTTCTTGCATTTGTGTTCAGTCAGAGCTCATTCTGAAGCTGCGAAACCCTACAGCATGGCCTGGATAGTTCAGATACTGTGACTCAGCCATTTTTTCTCCCTTTATTTAGGGTTTTGTTGCTGCTGTTCTTGTTTGTTTAAAGAGCTAATCGCTGGAAACAAACCTTTTTTTTTTGTTTTTATTTCTGCATGTTGCTGGCTACCTACACTACAAAAAAAGTTATCCTTTGATTTTCGTTATGTGTGAAGGGAACCATATTGATAAAATACGGCTTACTGATAGCTACCGTTGTCCACGTAAAATAGCCAGAGAGAGCTATCAAGGGTAATGAGTGTTGCGTTCCGGGTCAGTATGCATAGATTAACCCCCCCCCCAACCCCAAAGGTAATTATCCTACCTCACTCTGCTGTTGTGGTACCGGAAGTAAATGGAAGAGGAGGAGGAGGTTAAGGAAGAGAGAACTCAAACACAATTTGGTAGGATGTGTTGGCAGCTTACTCATTCTGCCATGTTAAATTCTTCACTTCCTGTACGGCTCCCATTTGTAGGTGTGGTATTGCATCCTTGAGAGCAGCTGCCATTCCAAACTACCACAAAGTGGCCAGCCCAGATGTTTTCTTTCTGGCCCCGGTCAGGAGGTTATTTAGGAAAAAGCTGCTATAATGCCAGCAGATTTATCCATGTGTTTGTTTTCTTTTCTCTCCCTGGAACTGTTGTCATGGCCTCTTTCTCAGAAAAGCACAGGAATTTTTAAATATAGTTACTCCCTCCCTTTAAGCAAAACTGACATTTTTCTCTCTGGATAGGAAGGGACAGGGAACTATTGTTTTTCAGTTTTAGGAATCAAAGGCCCGTCAATATTTCTCCATGCCTTAGGCACACATATGGGCTGGTGTCACGTGTGTGTGTGTGTGTGTGTGTGTGTGTGTGTGTGTGTGTGTGTGTGTGTCTAAAGATGCTAAGGAAAATGTCTAAAGAGTGAATTTGCCTAGGAAATTAAAGGCCCTTAAGATGATCAACTAAAACTAAAGGCCTCTACAGCACATTGTCTATCTGGGGTTATAGCTTGTGGTTTATGTTTATATTTACACAAGATCATATATAGCCAGGCTGTGGTGATGCACGCCTTTCATCTCAGCACTCAGGGGGCAGAGGAAGGTGGATGGATCTCGGTGAAGTCAAGGCCTGGCCTACAGAGTGAGTTCCAGGACAGCCAAACCTGTTGTTATATAGAGAAACCCTGTCTTATAAACCAAACCACACACACACACACACACACACACACAGAGAGAGAGAGAGAGAGAGAAAGAGAGAGAGAGAGAGAGAGAGAGAGAGAGAGCGCTAAAAATTAGAGTTGTTTTTACCTATGAACTTAACAGTTAGAATAGGGATATGGTAGATATTGGTGAGGAGTTATAAGTTTTTATTTGGGCAGGTTAGACTGAAGCAGAAAAGTTAAGGTCCAGACGATGGAACAGAAAGGTTTGTAGGAAAGGAGATTAGCGTGGACCAGTGTGGTTTGCACCTGTGATGGGTGTGGAACATCAAATGTGTCACCAGGAAGCTGTTTTCTTTTGTCTCAAGTCTCTGGAAGATTTAGAAGGCAGCACATTCTGCAGGGGGTGACTGGTGAATTTTCTCCTCCCATCCCCTGCCTGATGAGTATAAACCACTGGTTGAGAATGGAATGGGTATAGAGCAAATTCATGACTGCAGCAGTATACTGTGTATGTGTGTGTTTGGGGGGTGGTGGTGACTAGAAAGATGGGTTTGGCTACTCTGGGTAGATATGTGGACAAGCAGATGAGAGAGACATTGCATTTTTATGTGAACCGTGACCTGCTACAGTAGCGTGTGTGGATGAGTCCTGCAGCAGATGGGCACAGAATGCATTAGTGCACTAAGAGGTTGGGCATAGTAGCTGGAACTTTGGCCAGCCAACTGAAATTCCTGTCTGTCTGTGGAACAGCCTGGAGGGAACTCTAACCCCTCTGTTGTGTGGGTAGGAAATGGAGGATTCAAAAGTCAAATGTTTTATCTCCATTCCCTAGAGTTTATATGAGAACTAACTAGTAAGGCAGTATGCATGTGTTATTATGTTATCTTATGTGTGTAATAATGGGGGCCTGGACATAGCCAATACTTGTGAATGTAATCACAAAAGTCCAGATAACATAGATGCTCAGAAGAAAAGGAGATAGGTCTTGGTTAGTCATTTCTTATTACTCATGTTTTGTAGACTCGTCCACAAAGCCTTATGAGCTAATTTTCTATACTCACCTCCATCCTCTATGGGAATTTTTTCCTGGCCAAAAAAAATCATAAAAATATGATGTGCAACAGACGCCATCTTGTTTGTGATGTCCTTTTTACTCATTGCTGTTAAAATGATTTTTTGGGGAGGGAGGGTCTGCTGGAATATTGTCTTAGGGAATGGACTACAGCTCGGTGGTTAACTTGTATAGGTTCTGGAATGGGTCCCCAACACATGGTGGGTGCAGGGAGAATACTGTCTGAGAACAGAAGGCAGATTAATTTTATGTTTTTCAGGTAACTAAACAAGACAAGAACCTCATAAAGCCTCTTTATGACCGATGCAGAATTATCAAGCAAATCCTGTCAACACCGTCCCTGATTCCAACAATTGTAAGTAAAGATGGCTGCTCTAACTGGAAACCTTGACTGGCACCTTGTATCTATGCTCGTTAGCACTACAGCATAGTACCATGAATGTTACCAAGGGGCCTTCCTAGCTGAGTATACTATGATCCCACCAGCTGCTGTCCTCTTGCCTAGCCCAGTGCTGTACTTAACAGTGTTCTAACAGGAACTGCTGTGAAACAGAGCATACCAAACTGGCATGCTTGGGGCCATTCAACATTTAATTTCATTTCTTGACCCTCCTTTTGGGTGAGGAAAAAACATGATTGGTTTCAGTGTGGCACTGTCTGATTGTTAACACAGCTAAATAAGAAAGAGCCTCTCGGTTATGTGTTGTGGTTAATAAAACTGGTGCTGCAGTCTTTGAAATATTGAAACATTGTTTTGGTTCCATCTGATCACACTATACTAGATATAAGCAGATTTTGTCAATAAAAAGAAGTGCTGAAACAGTAGGGCTATATTTTAAATAAATTTATAAATTTCAAAACGGCTACTCAAGATATCAGCATAGAAAGCAGCAAATAAGAATTTAAATAAATATGAAATTAAATCTACTTGAGTATATTTATAATTTTGTATTTTAAAGGATGTTAGGAGAATGGAAAATTCTGTCTAAAATTGAGGACGAATAATAGTTTAAAGGAGAATATGACTTTCAGGTTTCAAGAGAACCTTTTGTCTGTCATAATAACCAGAAAGGTTAAAGGAGTAACTACAGCTTCTTTGGCCTTCTAAGGGCCCTTCTGAACCTGAACATCCTTAGCATCCTCTGCATTGACTGTGGCCTGCTCTGGGTCTGAGTGGGACATTTTCTGGATAAAGTGTCTGTAGTGCACCCTGCCCTAACCTGGATTTCTTCTGTGAAGCTGGAATACAGAAGGTCTGGGGGTTGGGAGGATCCACTTGATCACACAGTACAACTTGGGCTGTACCCTGAATGCTTGTCTTCCTTGGCCCAGTGGATATAGATAAACTTGGGAAGCACTGTAGCTCAGCACGGATACCTTTTTACTTCCACAGGTTATTAATGAAACTGAGCAACAGCTCTTGGTGTAGTGTCCATTCTAGTTCTCAGCAGCCATGTGGGCTACCTGTCTACTGGCTTGTAGGGTCTTATAGTCCTCTCAGATGCTCAAGAGACATGTAGCACCTTGTGACTTTTTGACTCTGCTTGTGACAAGCAGGAGGAAGAGGACTCTGATGAAGACTGTCCACAGAGAAGCCAGCCACCTTCTTTACCAGATCCAGTGTCCCGCCTTCCTGTTGGTGATCACCTCACCTACTCTGAGACAGAGCCTATGAGGACCCTGCTACCAGATGAGAAGAAAGAAGGGAAGCAACCAGCTCTCTCCATGTCCAACTTACACGAGGCCACCATGTGAGTGAGCAGCCCGAGTGTGGGCTCTTAAAACTCCTGGCTTGGGTACCTTGCCTGGGCATTAAAAACTCAACATCTGTTCAGAGCCTAAAATGTGCTCTCTAGCAGAGAATAGACCTGAAAGTGGCCTAACTGGAAAATACAGAAGACAGAGCCGTGAGGTACCCCACAGTAAAGTCCTACATCTGTCCTAAGGATTGATGTGCAATTACTTTGATCCTACTTTCCTGTTGAATCTTGGCACTATTAACCCTTGTAACCCTTAGCTGTGTCAAAGGAGAGCTGGTCTTTGAATACTGGACCCAAAGGAGTAAGATCCTCAGTGGGTCAACAGTGGCCAGAGCCTTTCTTTTCTTCCTTTGTTACATCCAGATGACATAGTGTACCAGACCAGGAATAACCTCGGCCCCCAGTCAATGCATGGATCTTTTGTCTCCTAATGACTCTCAGTTAAGAACTTGCTGGATTTTCATTACCATTATCACTCTTCAGTTGTTGGCATATCTCTTGATCATATGACCTTTTTGGTTTGTATGTAACATCCCACACTAAGGAGGTCCTCTTTAAACAAGCCTTATATACTCTGCTTAGTGTGTGTCCCAAATGGAGATGAAGGAAAAAACCAAGGACAGTAAGCAGTTTTTAGCCTGGTGGAGAGCTCTCACTCTCTCCAACCTTTGGGTGGTAGTTGTCAAACAGCCATCCCTAAATTTCAGTGGGTGTGGGCATTTTTGAGATTGATAAGATTTGACTTAGAGAAAATGCCTGTATATAAAGTCGGTGTTCAGTTTTATTCCCAATGGTTTTGTTCTTCTTCCCACACTCTAAGGACATATTTTTTTTTCCTCTTGTGTCTCTCTTATCTATACTTGGTCAACAAACATTGGTGTGTATTCCTTGGATGTCTGCTCCATCCTGTCATCCTTAGTATAGCACCATAACTGTTACCCCCCCTTTTTTTTTAACAGCAGATGTAATACACTGTTTCTCTGTGCCCATGACACTGTTAATGTCAGGGAATACTAGGCTTGTGTGCTGCTCCTACACTGAGGCCACATTTACAATGTGTGCCACATTTAGAAAATCCTTCTATCATCACTTTTCAGTCATAATGGGCCCATTTTGCTGATCTGACATAATTCAGTCATGATCAGTCAGTCAGGTCAGTGCTCAGTAATGCAAATGTGTTTCACTTGACACAGGCCAGTCCTTCTTGACCATCTCCGAGAAACTAGGGCTGACAAGAAGAGGCTACGGAAAGCCCTGCGAGAATTTGAAGAACAATTTTTTAAACAAACAGGAAGGTAAGTTGAGTAGAGAGGGTTTTTTATGCTAATTATTTCCTAAAGAACTATAGTTCAGAATGAACTCTGCTTTTGTATTAACAGTGATGAGATGTCAATCCTAGCTAAAGACTGTGTTTTCCCCAATGCAATACCCCATGGTAACATTGTGAGGGATGTTTTATGGGATATTTATGTTAATAGCTGCCAGATATTAACATCAGTCTTTACAAAATGAAAACTGAACTCTGAAAATGTTTTCTATCTGCTGAAATTATCTAAGCTTAAAAATTGACTTGATTTTCAGTCCTTGTTCTTAGACTCTTAGTTCCATAAGTTATTTTCTACCTGTTACATGAATACTTCTCCTTTAAATATATCCTCTAAACTTCACCACCTATCTCCTGTTTGTTTTATTCCAGGGTTTAGTCAAAAGTTCATAGCTATTTTTCTCTCCCCAAAATATTTAGTTGGACCATCTGTCTTCCTATGTTTTTCTATGTCAACCCAGCTGTTACTATACGCTTATTAATTTCCTGTAATTTTTCCTGGGTTACCAACAAAACTGTGTATATGTCACCAGGTAATGAATGTTAGTGTCTTTTAGAGAAGAGACACATCACTTAGCTGTCCTCAGTCTCTGTTTACACCAATAAGCGGAAATGCTTTGTCTCCTTGGATAAGCAAGCATGTAACTTTCCCCAAATCACAGAGCTTTTAAGTGCAGAGAGGAACTGGGTGGTTCTTCCTACTGACACACTGGCTTGGGCTTATTTTCCCACCTGCCTTTCTTTCATGCCTTGCTGTGACAGCATCTCAGCCCACAGGCTGCTGCGAGGGAGTGGTACTGTGCTAAAGCACTTTGAGACATCCAAGCTTAGCCTGCTCGTATCATCAGTTGGATAGCTTTTCCAGGGCTGTCCATTAGCAGTGGGCTCCCTAGGTGAGAAATTTGTAGCTCAACAAAGTAATATGGTGATTAGGTGCTTGAGTACATTTCTGACTTACATTAAAGTTCCTTTTTAAATTATTCAGTTGGAATCTTTCATCAGTGAAATATCTGAGTTGGTTTCTGGATTTCAAGTCCCTACAGTCAGGGCCTGAAAAATAAGTTACTTAGGTTTTAGACACATGCAGTCTTTTCATTAGAGTTCCCAGAGGAAATTACTTTTTGCCCATTTGAACACAGGAGTATGCGTTAGAGGATGAGAGGTCCCAGTGTGCTGCTAGTCCTGCCTATAGGATCTATCGGTAGTAGAATTTGGCATGCTTTTTGGCAACATGGTAGCTGAATTGTTCTGCCTGTTCTTGGCAATAGTTATTGTGTGTAAATAAAAATCTATGCATCAGTATATATCTAAGAATGAGTATGCAGAAGAACATGCAACTCATTCATGACTTACTGCACTCAAGGAACAGCTTGTTTTACTATACTTACAGTCCCTAAACTACTTTAGATACATCTATGCTTGCTTGCTCTGTGTGAAGTAATGTGCCCTCTTGTGGTGATACATCATCTAATAAGAAAATGCTCATTTGTTGAAGCTAAACTTAAACAGTTAAATGACAAGGAAATGGACTTTAATCTTGTTTCCTTAAGACTGTTACTGCTAAGATGTAACCATCTATAAAGCTAAAATGACCATTCAAATGGATTTTCTATACATTTAGAAACACCGTAAACATTCATGGTAATAGAACAAGAGCACACAGTAGACTTGTACTAAAGTCTATGCATTGGTACATGCCCAGTCTTTGAAGTAGTGTGCAGAAAGAGAGGTATTGCAATTTAAACTGGGTGTGTGTTCCTATGTATGGTAGCCAGAGGACAACTTGGGGTTGTCTCTCTCCTTCCACCATGTGGCTCCTAAGGATCGAACTCAGGTCATCAGGTTTGGTAGGAGACACCTTTACCCACTGAGCAGTCCCACTGGCCCTGATTTAGACTCAGATTAGTTCTGTCAAGGAGAACCTCAGAAGTTCTACTACACATCAGCAGAAACAGGTTTAACTACAAGAAAACTTGAGAACATTTCAAGCTTATAGACAGCCCCTGGAAAGTTTTTATCACTATAAGTTTATGGATTACTTGTGTAATCAAATGTCTGCAGTATTTTCAGGATGCTATTTTTTAACAGTTTTCACAGTAAGGGCTGAGTATTCTGCACAGGCATGGAGCTCTGGCAAGTAGGATGAGTAGAGAAGGGATTCCTCGGAGGGAGGCTCTAACCTGTTTGTTTTCTTCACATCTTTTCATCTGCACCGTTGTTCTGTGCTTGAGAATGGGACCTCACGTTTGCAAAAGCACATTGGCAAAAGGGCATTGTTACTTAGAGCCACAGAGAACAGGTTGAGGCTGAAGGGATGGAAAGAAGGCAGCACACACCATATGGAGGCCACAATCCCCTGTCTGTTATAAAAGGACCTTTAGTGACCTGGCTCATGTGTCTACTAATAGATTGTATCGTCTTCTCTGCAGAAGTCCACAGAAGGAAGACAGGATGCCAATGGCAGATGAATACTATGAATACAAGCACATAAAAGCCAAACTGAGACTACTGGAGGTCCTCATCAGCAAGCAGGATGTGGCCAAAACTATTTGAGATTTGGCTCTGATCACTTCCACCCAAGATAAAGTCAAGTTTATTTTCCTCTACTGTTCTTGCTAAGTAGTTTTAATGTACCGGAAACTAAGCACTTTAGAGATAGTAGTAGCTGTTTTTACAAAGGAAGAGCTAGTGTAATTATACTCAAGGAGGGGATTTAAGTAGGGAAATAATAGGTAATATTGGGTCTGGCAAAAACATTCAGCTTGCTCCACACCAAACTGAAAATCCACAGTAAAATGTAATAGTTTTAAAAGAAAAATCTATCTTGTCAAACCTAACACATAGGCAGACTACCTGCTAGGGAAGGTTCATTAGTGCCCAAAGATGGACTTCATTGATGTCTGGCAAAGAGCAGGGTTTAAATTAATTGAGACAAGAAAGACTTCTGCTCTTCATCCAGGGAGGAAAACAGCTGGTAAGAAGGTAATTTAAGCAAGACCACGTCCACTACCTTGTCCTATAAGTCTGTAGGCATTCTAAACACTCTAAAATACACTCGACTGTGTCACTAGTTTCTTATTTCTACATGAAAATAGTGCATTATTTTATGTGTTATTTGAAAATTTACATTTCTGGTTACCAAAGTTCATTTGGATGGCATGTACTTTGTGAATTATCTTTGTCTATAACTGACAAATGTTTATATTAAAATAAAATATTAAAAATTTAAAATAGGTATTTTGGATAGGTGTGTCTGCAGTCTAGTAACCTAATGTGACCATAGTATTATTGCTAATTTTCTTGTTTCCTACACTAAGATTATATAACTATTTTTCCATTGGGAATATGCATCTTTCTTAATGTCCCAAGGTCTGTACTTCATAAAGTGAAACAAATTTCTTGTGAGTTGCATTCATTCTGCGCAGGGTAAAGAGCTTGGAAATCACCAAGACACCTTTTATTTGCTTTATTTAGTGTATCTTGCTTTTTCTCCATTCATTTAAAACATATTTATCAGTTTTGTGTAAAATCAAGTAACAGACACTTTCTCATCTTCAACTTTGTTCATATTTCTGTTTTCTGTAATTTTTAAGCATGGTGTTAAGGAAATCATATACTCATATTGCGTGGGCAGGAAAAAAAATACTGATTCCAGAAGCGGACTAAATCAGAGGCATATTGTTTTCTCTGTATTCACCTGATGTTTTAAATCTTATATGAATCAGAGTAATGGCCTTCATAAATTTGTTTAATTGAAGTCATCTACTGGTAACAGGACAGATACACAACTATTTAAGGTTTACAAATTACATCTTTGATAAGGGAAATGGTTTCATGAGATGTATACAATTGCTATTAAAATGTAACTATATTCTATATGATTGTAAATATTTTATACAACATACAAATAAAATATTTTTCTATTATATTTATTATGTTGAAGCACAGTAACTGTTTTCTGTTAGCTAATATAAATAACATAAATAACACTGTCAAACAACAAGGTGGAAGTGCTGACAATTCTAGGCTTTAAGATTTAACTCATGCTGCAATTACAACCTTTCATGCGGTTTGGAGTTAACCCAATATTTATTCAGTAGATTAAAATGGATGCATATTTAAACACCATTTATAAGCCATTATTTTGTACTTTGCTAAAGCGGTCTATATAACTGTCTTGTTATGTTTGGCATACAGGAAACATAAAAGCATTGCAGCATCTAGGCAAACAAAGTGTCAGGACAACTTGGGGACATCATTGGTGGTGACAGGGTGGGTGAGAGGAGACATGGAAAGGCTCTGAATGATAGATATAGTTTGCTTTTGGTGACAGCGGCATATGCATGCTTCAGTGGGAACATCTGATGATGAAAATGAACAACAGAGGGCAATGCTCCTATGGGAAGACAGGGTAGGGGAGAGTACGAAAGTGGCGTTAACGTCCAACACTGATGTTACAGGTTTTGCAGCTGGGGTCTTTCTTTGCATTTGCAGTAGACAAACTCATGAGCTGATGACCAGTGATTTCTGCTACGGTGCCCAGAGAAAGAGCCACAGGGTCAGTGTAAATGACTTCTAAAATGACATCCTGGGCGTGGTGGTACACCAGCACACCATCTTCTTCTGTACAGGTCAAAAACTTATTATCCTTGGAATTTAGTTGAGGAAGGCGCTGCTTACAAAATTCATCTCCTGGTGATCCCACAGGGGCAATGACAAGAATCACATAATGATAAGCAGTGTACATACAGTAGAAGTCCCCAAAGTATAAGTTAGTATTGGGGTTGAAAAGTTTTTCTGCTGCAATCTCAAACCTGTATCTTCCATACGGTGAATCCTGGGGTGGCTTCCCTGTATTGAACTCAGTGCTGCAGCTGAAGAAGATGCCTTCTAATTTTCCACTGATGGGTGAGCCATGGCTGCCACTGTTATCCTTGACAGAAGGCTGCATAGCATTCCCGTGGTGTTCTCTACAAGAGAAAGGAAATAGCCACTGCTCAGTACAATAGTGGCAAATTTATTGATTGGAATAACACAGAAATCACTACCCACTGTTAAAGGCTTGGATGGCCAGGCTATCACCAGACCAAGGGCAATGTATCTTTTGACACTACTTATCATGGACTTGGGAGATCTTTAACAATAAAATTAATTTCCTGGACTGAAAAACTGAATTGCATTAGAAATCGTACAGGTGAGACTAGCTCCATTTGTACTTAATGGGTTTCATAAGTGACTTTCCTAAAAAGAAAACTACTGAAGTAGTGAATATCTGAACACTGCTAAGTAGAACTTGGTTTAAATGTGTGTTGTCTACCAAGGAAGATCCATCTTCTGGTGACTCCAGAACTGAGCTGCTGCCATAGACCTAGGCATTGCTCACACTCCTCAGAAATCTCAGGAAGATCTCCTTTGCATTCTGTGGTTTGAAGATAGCAGCTGCTGTGACAACTCTTGGAGTCTCCTGTCCTTCTGAGACACCTTGCAACTGTCCTCTCAGCAAGTTCCAATGCCATCAGTGCTAGACTGTGGAGTTCAGGGACACTATCTATGGATTCACACAACTGCCTTATGAACCACAGCAGCCTAGACCACTGATCCCAGGGACATCATTGTAAGACAAATCAGAGACTACACTTCACTGCTGGGATCCAACTCAAAAGCATCTAGCCTAAGTGAAATTCAATATGTCATCTGAATGATATGTCACTGAATGAAAAATGTTCTTACAGTAGATATTTCACAAAATTTCAACATTCCACCTATTTCACAGAATTTTAACATTCCACCAAGTGCACAGGCCAAGAAAAATGAATAACTCCAAAGAAAAAAACATAATATATGAAAATACTTGATAAACAATTCAAAATGAGAATCCAGATAAAAATACCAGGCAATAAGGAAAACAACTTCAGGGCATAGCAGACAGATTTTCCAAGGATATAAAGAATCATAAAATAGAACCAATCAGAAACATTGGTGCAAAATACTTAATGAAATAAATAAAATGGCAAGTTGTCAAGACACATGAGGAGAGAGTTTCTGAACCTATCAGGTCTTTCAGCCAACAAAACAATAGAACAAAGAAAGCCTATAAGATTTAGAGATATGGCTAAGTGAATATTCATGTCATAGTGTCAGAAGTGAACAAATGGGATTAATTTTTTTTAAGAGGTGGATTTTTTTTGGCTGGGGGGGGAAGTGGACAAGGTTTCACTTTGAAGCCCCAGGTGGCCTCAAACTCAGAATTTCCCAATTCAGCGTCTCAAATGCTGGCATGACACCACACCTGGCTGAAGACAGAATTTCTACTGCGTTTGGTTATTATTACACAGTATATATCAATTACCGTAACAGAAGAGTGTCAGTTCATTATAGACTGCTGGCTACAGAAGACCCACAGGTCAAGTGATGGTTCATTCATACTACAGAGGGCAGGCAGTTTTAAAAAAATGTATTAGGGTATGTATTTTAAATGTAAATTTTTAAAACAATACTTTATTAAGATGGAAAGAGAACCTAATCCTTTTAGATATAATTGTACAGCAAAAGCCCTGGAAGGAATCCCAACTTGTTTTCAAATTAAGAGTAGGGAGAAGACACAAAAAACAGATTTTCATGATTAATCTCTATTTCTACCTTGGGAGCCTATATAGTTGTATTTCTTGCTATTTAAGAGTAAGAACTTGGGCTCCCCACCTAGACCAGGGGAAGTGTTTTGAGCCTTATGTTTTGGCCATTTTAAACTAGACACAGGCTGCTTCTCAGGTCACCTCTTGCAGCTTGTTTGACAGTGCCAGCTATTCTCATTTGGCCCCATATCAGCTTCCCACCTTTCTTGCTTTCTATGTAATTTGAAACTATCATCCATTTCCTCGACACTTCCATCTCTTTGAAGTCCTAGAAGTGTGCGGTACCAGCACATCTAGGGCACAGAGAAGGTGAGCCTTGAGTGTCTTCCTGATGTCCTCATGTGTCTCTGTGGCTGCAGCAAGGCTGGTGTCTGTGTGTCTGCTGCTGGGTGACTCTGGAGTCCCTTCTGTTCTCAGAAGAGAAATACTGTGTCTTGATATTCGCTGGTTGCTTTAGTGTGTCTTAGTAGCTCAACTCTGCTTTTACTTTTGTAAATGGAAGTCTCATTGAGTTCTCTCCAGAATTCCTCAGTTTTTCTTTTTTCTTGCTGGGTGACTACCAGCATATTTAAGAATATGAAAGTCCAAGGTAGTAGTCTGGTAAGTTTTTTTTTCCATCACTATACTTAACAGAAGCTGAGAGACAGCGAGGCATGCTGAGGACCTGCTACCATCCTTAGGACAGAAATGGGCCTCAAAATTCACCACCTGACAACTATCCAGTGGAGCTTATTAAAAATGTAGCTTCAAGAAACACCAGGTCACTGTATTTTCTCCAATTTGCTTTCATATCACCTGAAATTACTGTTTTTCATTTAGTTTTCATCAGTTTCTGAAGTGCCGTGGCATAGATTTATTCAGAACTTATACCATTTGGGGATTTCTCAGCTGAAAGTGAGTGGCATATGCTGTTTGCTTGCTAAATGTGGAACTATTCCAGCTCTGGGAGGCTCAGCCCCACCCCCCTGTCCTTTCTGGATCTCTGACAACCTGAACTTTAGATTCTGTGGCCCTACATATTGATGGTATTCTGACAATTTTTATGTTCACGTGTTTCTCTGTTTGGATAGTTTCTATTTGCTCTTCAAGTTTACTGGTAGTTTTTCTTCTAGTCCTGCTTCACTCCATCCATTGCTCTTTTATAATTCTACTGTTACTTTGCCTCCTCACATATTGTGTTTAATCAGCTCTAAGAACATCTGTTCTTCATATCTCATGCTGCTTTGTGCATTTTACTTTTGTTTCCAGGATGTTTTCAATTGCTTATCAAAAGTTTTCTCTGTGTATTTTCTATGGTGCCTCAGCAGTTCCGAGTTAGAGCTGTTATCTTAGTGTTGTCTTCGATATTCCTTCCTTACCCAGACTCTGTGTTTACTGATTCTTGACATGATGAGTGAATTTAATTGTTTGGAAATCTGGGCTACTGTGAGATGCTGGGTGTGATTTCAATCTGGTATTTCTGTAGGCCCCTCTGACTATATACTAATGAAGGTTTTTTTTATTATTATTTTTAGATACGATGGATATCTAAATTCTTCTTTAGGTATCCAGTAACATTAAGGTGGGAATTCTAGTTCCCACTGGACTCAGCCAACACAATCTAGCTGGGACAGATCATCATTGCTGTCCAGTTGTCTTCATATCACAGAACTGTAAGCCCCACTCCGTATAATCAGTGGAAGTCCAGGTTCCTGACTCAGTAATTCAGCATTCTCGATACTCTAGTAGGAAATCAGGTAGCGATTAATTATAAGGGTGAAAAGGCAGCACTGGCCTTTGTGGGTAGCATCTAACTGAGATTCCCACAAACCCACCATAGTTTTGGCTGAAACTGGATGTTTACTGTCTAAGGTTTCTGAAGTTACAGCAATTTTTTCCTGGTTCTCTAGGTAAAGGGACCAGGCCTTCTGTGCTTGTGATCCATGCCATTGTCATTTCTAGGCTGCCTGCTTGTCCAGAACAACAGGGAACTTACCTTGAATTTCTGTCAGGGCTTTTAGTTGAGCTAATTTCCACTTTCTACCTTTCATTTTATAGTCTTGTACTTCACATAAAAATTTCAGTTTTTAAAATTATACTTGGGAGGAGGAATAGGAAGGCCTTCATATATAATTTCATTTTGCCTCTTTAAAGTTTCTAAACCTTTTTTCATTCTCATACATAAACCCCAGGTCCTTATGTATCCTACATAACCCTCTGAGTACAGTTCTATGGAGCAAAACAAGTAGGAAGCATAATCAGAACTTGAAGTGTTGAAATGTGTCCTACTCTCAGTGACAGAACACCAACTATGAGGGCAAATGGTTTGGCAGAAGTAGAGGAATTCCTACACTGGTCTACCAATTGCAAGAGAGTCTTGAAAATGTCATCAGGTAAACAAACACCCAGACTAACTAGTGAGCATGAACAAGGGCAAGGGTACAAGAGATTTTCATTCAGGGTAAGGGCATGATCATTTTAATGTTAATTTTTAGAAGAGACCAAAGTCAGTTCAGCCCTCATGGATTGGGTCAGAACTTATCCACAACTTTTTCAGTTATAATGGTTTGTAAAGGTTATCAGGTAATGGTAAGATCCTTCATAGCCAATCAAGCATTCTGAAGATAACATTTTAAAGGGATTCTAATCAAGGAAATGTATCTTGATGACAGTTTACCAATTAAAATGCAAATCAATATCCATGGAAGTAAATGGCCTTACTAACGTTCACTGCATAGGAGACTGAAGTGTTTCTTTTGTTGTTGTTGTTATTGGTGTGAATCTCGACCACTGAATGCCAGGCAAACGCTCTGCCAGAGCTCCAGCTCTGGCTGAGAAAGGGCTTCTTTTATTTTTTTTATTAAGGCATGGGTAGATAAAAACATTTAAAAAAACTTTATTAAAAAAATAAAAGAAGCCCTTTCTCAGCCTGAGCTGGAGCTCTGGCAGAGCGTTTGCCTGGCATTCAGTAGTAATTTACATGGGTTTTACTGCTATCAAATTTTTGGAATTAAAACAAAAGTAAATTTTGCTGTTGGTACAAACATCTTCCATGCTGGTGGGTTGGAATTAAATCATGTCATGTGTACAAGTACTTTATCTTTTTCTAGGTTCTCTGCTTTTACCTTTTTGAATTTTTGGAAACATTTCTGAGAACAAATTAAGCAAATGTTACAGTTGTGGAAAGGCTCTTCCCATGCAAGAATCACAACATCCTAGAGCAATGCTGACCTCCGGTGGCCACACTTGGCAGTCATTGGCAGGACCCCAGAAGCCTGAACCAACACCAAAGATCTAACACTGTATTCTGTTGATTCTTATTGGAGGCAGCAGCAATTGTGGACATTTTTTGCTTTTCAAATTTTATGCTTAAAAATACAAAAACTTTTGTTGCTGAATGTACTAGTCATTCTGAATTAACAGCTGATAAGCCCAATAATTTGTCATTTAGTTTATGTGACTGGCATCCACCAGAAATTATACAGACTTTAGGCCAGTTAGGAGAACAACAGACTACAATGTGAATTTATAAGATAGACAGAAGGCAGACGTGTTCTCCTATCATCAAAATACATACAAATACCTGGCCCAGCAAAGCACTTGGCTTTTGTTCAGCTAGAAAATATCTCCCATTCCCACACCCCCCACCAGGCTCATATGGTTGAACATTTGGTGTCCAGCTGGTGGTGCTGTTTGAACAAGTGGTAGAGCCTTGGTAAGTGGTGCCTTGCTGGTGGAAGGAGTCACTGGGGTAGGCCCGGAGGGTAAAGCCTAGCATGGCAGGTCATAGTCTTCCAAGATGCCTGGTGTTCTAAGCAGCAGTTAGCGGCCTGCCACTATGTCTTCCTGGACACAGTAGGGAAAAAAACATTCCTCACAGGTAGCTTCTTCCCAGGTACATGACCTTAGTGGTGAAAAAAAAATTACTAATGTACACTTCTTCTAGAACATATATGCTAAAAACACTTTTTCTCTATGACTCCTTTTGCATTTGCCATAGCTTTGCGCTTATTTGGAAATATGATTTTCATTCCAGTCAGAGAAATTAGAAAAGTATGCAAAATTTTAAAAAAAACATCAAAATTTTCTTATTTTCATATATAGTCTTTTCAAGTCATATCATAAATCCTTTATAACTCTAAAGTGGTTAAGGTTCTCATTTATCTTATTTTTGTTTTGATACAGGTCTCTTGGCTGTAACCTAAGCTGTGCTAGAACTCAGGGTGATCCTCCTGCCTCGTCCTCTCGAATATTAGTACTATAATGCTTAGCCACCACACCCAGCCTAAGGTTTTAAAAGAAGACAAAACAAAATAGATAATCTGCTTTGTGTGTAAAAGTTCAGAACCACTGTAACTTGTCATTTTAAAAGCCTTTGTCTCTCTGGTCTGGAGAGATGGCTCAGCAGATTGGAACGCTTGCTGCAATTCCAGAGAATTCAGTTGGATTCTCAGTTCACGTGACGACTCACACCACCTGTAACTCCAGTTCCAGGTGACCCAACACCCTCTCTGGCCTCTGCAGGAATGTGGTATACAGACATACATGCAGTCAAGATACAAAACACATAAATATAGTGAATCTTACCTAACATAGTCAAAATACTCTTTGTGCTGGTTCCGATAGAAAACGGAGAACTTGAGCATGCGTCCTGCGATCACATCAGCCTTCTCCAGCAGCTGTGTTAGATGTACTTTCGAGTAATCTGAAAAATTTTAAAAAAGTCTATTGAGGACTACACTACCAAAAGTGCTAGCTACATGCTTTATAAATCAGGGATTATTAAAATATATCTTAACAATATATATTTTGTAGTAGGATATAAAGAAAAGATTTGTTGTCTTTCTTTGGTTTATTTTTATTTCTACATAAATATTTTTGTTATGGTTCATGGTTATTTCTTAGAATATTCTTGTACTTTTTAATCTTTCAAATTAAAGATCCTGAAGCAACCAATACTTTACACAGTGCTATGTCTACATAAAGACAATTTATTCAAAAACACCTTTCTCAAAATTCAGACTCAAGGGCATAGATAAAACTTAGATGAAATGGTCCAGGATCACATGATAAAAATGAACAGCAAGTTCTCTTTACCTTTTAACTCTGAAAATAAAGGTAAAGTAATTTATAGAGAAATACTGTACTAACAGTTAAAAGCTGGCACTTGTCATTTACCTTGTAACTACCCACAAATGTTATGAGCTGTAGGAAAAATGAGAAAGCAACAGAGAGATTGCTCTATGAAAGCATGCTTTTACTTCCTTTTATTACCAGATGTAAAAAAATGCATTCACATAACAGTTTATGCATAAGTGTGTGTGTGTGTGTGTGTGTGTGTGTGTGTGTGTGTGTTGGAACTACCAAAGGTCTTCTTTAAGCTAAAGAAGTCATAGTATTTCAGACCTTTCTTTAGTATAAAGTAGGTTCTGGCAGATAAATTATATCGCTCCCTTGAGTGTGAAGTTACCAGGATACTGTTTGGTGTAATGACACAGAAAAATGCATGTACTCCAGGTAGATTCCACTTAATGGCAATGCTTGAGACCAGAAGTGTTTCAGATTTTGATTTTGGGGTGTTTAGAATATTTGCATATATTTTAATGGTTTTATGATTTCAAAAATCAAAACTACTCCAAAATTTGAGCACTTTTATTACTGCTCAAAGTTTCAGATTTTAGGGGCTGAAGGGATGGTACAGCAGTTAAGAGCACTTGTTGCTCTTTCAGAGAACTTAGTTCAATTCCCAGCACCCACATGTGAGTAGCATGGAGCTCACTACCAGTTACTGATGCCCCTTTCTTCCACCCCCCCACACCAAAGCACAGACATTTGTGCAGGTACTCATATATACATATTTTAAAAGGTTCAGATTTCAGAGTATTACGATTTAGGTTTTTGGATTGTGGATGCTCAAAAGACAAGATGTCTGTATGTCTGATTTAAATGAAACCTCCCTGGTGTTAGAAAAATAAATAAGTAGAGGATTCAGGAAAAGGATTGAATGTGAGGTGGATCCCAGAGAGGATTAGTAATTCCAACATGGCACAGCAAACACAGGAAAGTTCTCTCCAGATGAGAGCCCTTTACTTGCTGTTAATACAATATAGACATCTTTTGTTGTTTCATTGTTGGTTACTGAACTATCATAATTATATTTAATCCATCTTAAAATGTTTATTTACATTTTAACATCTCTGATACTGTCTACCAATAAATGCAATAAGAAAACATTGGCATTTTTCTTTATGGTACATTAAAATGGTGGCTCCATGAGATATAGAGAAATTTAAAAAATATGGTACTTGAAAGAAACTTTTTACCTTGTTCTCAAATACTGAAATATTTAGCAGTCAAGAGTGTTAACATTCTTAGAAGCTTCATCATAGAATAAACAAAGAGGCATGAAGATCAAACTGAATTTCAGCCACTTTACATGCCCTTGAAGTTTTACAGATACCAGGATAAGTAGTAGCTAATCATGAGCTGCATCTAAAAGAATGCAAGTGTGTGGCCATGTAACAAGGGGTTGGGTCTTATCTGAAGATTGCCACAGATGGGAGAGTTGCTAAGCAACCTGGAAACAGATGGGCAAATTACATTCTAGAATTTTTCTACAAGCTCTTTCATGCTAAACAGTTTTTTTTTTTCTGTATCTGCATGTATGTGCACAGTGTGGGGGCCAGAGATCACCTCAAGTGTCAAGTGCCATCCACCTTATTTTTTGAAACAGGGTCTTTCACTGACCTAATGTTTTCCAAGAAGCTAGGATGCTTGTCTACAGAGTCCCAGAGATCTATCTGCCTGTGCCATTCCAGAGCCAGGATTACAAGCCACCCCCTCTTGGCTTTTTAAAATGGGTCTGGCATTCAAGTCAGGTCCACATGCATGCAAGGTGAGCAGCTTACTATCTGAGCTATCTCCCTAGCCTTCTCCAAATTTGTTTTCTTAATAGGAAAAAGTCATCCAGGTAAAGAGGAAGCAGTAAGTCCCATCGGAATCTACAAAAGAAGAAGATGACAAAAGTGCTTAAGGACACTCACTAAGTGCACACTTTGTGACTGAGTGAACAGACGGACAGAAGAAAGTCAGCACTTCCATGAAAATACTGGAACATTCAAATGGGATATGGGGGTACCATCAGAGGATGGGCTCTCCACATCAGGTTTTTCCAGGCAAATGACTGCTTAGGAAGGTTTTTAGTGAAGCAATGATGCACAGACAGAACAGTAGTTTGTGGATAGTTTTAAGCTCTTCCCATCCTGAGGTAAAAATGACAAACATTTCTACTGGGCAGTTACCAAGGTCTACGTCTAACCTAAGTGCCGTTTCTGGTTTCTTCCCTTCACTATCTATGAAAATGAACACAGTGAAAGAAAAATAAATATGAACACTCTCTTTACAGGATGAGGCTCCAAGTATGTTGTTTATTCGGAAATTGCATCAATTTTTATTTGTAGAGCTTTCACTTCTAAAAAAACTATACATGCAGCAAAAAGGCAGTCTGATCCCATCACTCAAATTGTCTTAGAACTCATCTCCCTCCAACTTGTATGAAACTGTGCACCCATTAGGCAATGCTACCAACAGCACCACACTTCCAATACAATGATTGTCACCTTGTAGACACAAAAAGTATACTGATCATTAGCTTTCCAAGAACATGAATCAATATAAGCCACAGCTCCCTTACCTGCTGTACAGAATTCTATAATTTCACTCCATTCAGATACAACATAATCACCATCAACTTGTTTAGAGGCAGTCTGCACTGCTACTGTATACTCAGTCCTTGGGCTCAAAAACCAATGTCCACGAACAGTCATTGGCAAGGGAACAGCTTTTGCCACCAATTTTGTTGGAACATCCTAGGAAGGGAAAAAGGAAGATGAGGCAGTAAAGAATAAATGGGAGGAAAAAGTAGGGAAGGATGAGACAGGGAGACAGGATGGCTATTAAAGATAACTTTCATCAACTATGAACAATAGAGAGGTGTAATGATAAATCTTTCCACCAGCCACCAGAGCCCCGTCGCCATGTGGTTGCCCAAAATAACACACAGAGATTAATATTAGGTACAATGCTGCTGGCTAATAACTAGGATTTTTTACTTGCTAGCTCAGTCTTAATTATAAACCATAACTACTAATCTATATATTTTATAAGAAGTTATTTTATCGGACTCCAGGGCTCCCATTTAAGAACACCCAACAATGGCCAAATATTTAAATGTTTATTCTCCATATGCAGAAATTAAGGCCCAGGAAGAACAAGAGACAGGCTTAACAGCCTACAGTGTGAAAACAGAAAAGGACTTGTATTCTAGTTGTTATTTATAACATACTGTTTTCCCCTGTACATGCTATCTTCTTCAAAACAGATTTTAAAAAAGATATAAAAGAACCAAGATTGTTTTAAAATCTACTAAGTTAAAAAATATATTTGCTTGATTTTTATGACTTAATAATTTTACTAGAGAGGTTCATTACTAAATATTTTATCTGTGAAGAAGAGAATGCTTTAAAAGTAAATATTAAAGCAAATGATTTTGTTTCCCATACAGATCAGGTAACTTTCATGTAAGTATGGTGTCATGTCAACTGAGAAAGTTTAGGTCCTTTCAAGCAGCAACTGATAAGTTAACCTGCTGGCTGAACACTCACTACATTTCCAAAGTTGTGGTATTCCATGGGTGAAGCAGAGGTCAAGCCTTGAAGTATTCATCATTTAACGTTAAGCATATCAAAGCTTCTTCTAGAAGTCAAACGCCAGCAAAGAGAACACCCATAATCAGAACTGGAATTTGATAATAATGACTGATAAATAGTATGTTCTTTCTGTAGTATGTAAAGCCCTCACTTATATTTAGTTTGTATAAATGTAAAAGACATTTCCAGAAAAATAAAATGATGCATTGAATTTTCCCAAGTTAAAACTGAGTAGCACTATGTTTTTCAAAGGTCAAGTTTATGTCTGTTTTCATCATGAGCAAATGCGTGAAGCATACGAGAAACACTCGAGCCAGGTAACTGTTACTCCTAACAACCACATCTGGCAGAAGAGCTGTATCACAAAGGGTGAGTGACAGCAAAAACAGCAAGTAAATATTACATATTACAACATGTGAAGGCTAGTAATTTTCAAACAAACAAAATACAGACCCCCCCCAATTTGACTTGTCAAAGCATTTTTTTTTTCTTTAGGCCTAACGTGTTACATTTCCACAATTTCATAAGCCAATTAGTTTGATTCAGGGAAGGATGTGTGCTTCAATGGAAAACTCTTCAGTGCCTATGGCACATACTTCTCCTTCTGCTTTAATGGAAGGAATTTTCCAGCCTGGTAAAGATTTTAGCCATTCTTGTCTACCCAGAGTAACTGATTTCTGAGTGGAGGGTAGTATTCCCATCCCCTCCAAACTCCACTCCCTTCTCCAAGCCAGTTTTGACTTCATTTGTGTAGATTTTAATATAACTGACTTATAAATGGATTCTATCTTGAACTATCCATATAGCACAGGATCAATTTCCTTTAATGAGTTAGAGTTTACTATTGATTGTTATCTTTGTATGCAGTCATGATTTGCCCTTTTGAATGGCATTTCATTTTCTTCAAAATTTTATTATGGAGATAATGTTTTAAATCACATATAATTTAGGTTCTTCTCAATGTCAAATATCTAAGTAATTGAAATTATTCTTTTAAAATGTCTTCATACTTAAAATGTTTTCAAGATGCAATAACTTCCAGTTATGGGGGTTTACCTTGTGTTTAAATTTATTAGAGTTCTTGTTCTCTTTCTTGTTTAGGTCAATGAAATAATGTGTAATGCGGTCCTTTGACTTCGGGTCCATCTCCCATGAAATCTTGAAGGAGTCACATGTGATGTTACTTATTTTGATGTTATGTGGGACAGGGAGTTCTTCCATCTCTGCTATGCCACTGTCTTGTGATTTGTTACCTGCCAGAAAACAATGCACAGAAAATTAGTTTTTGATGGATTTTTCCACTTTTCATAGTCTTTAGTATATGTATTTCTGAATTCAACTATATAATAAGTACTAAATCTGAGATTCCATTTTGTTCATGAAGTAATTCACATGATAATAAGATATTTATAAGGCCATATCACCAGTTAAAAGAACAGATGGTTCAACCCTATGATTGCTATATTTTCACTTCCCAATTTCTGATTTATAGAAACACATTGATGATCCATCTTGCCTGTAAAACATCAGTTTTGCCTGGTTAGGTTCTCTCTGGAAAGCCTCAATGGGCCATTTCCTCCATGACCAGTCAATGCTTACCCTAAGTAATGAAGGTGTTTTAACCCAGATGGTTACACAGAAATGCTGAAAACGAAGTGGTCCAGTCAAATGAATGAAAGACTTGAGGTAGCAATGGAAGGTGACAGAACTTGCTCCTCCTCTTTACTTTGGAAATACCATAAGAAAAACAGTGTATAAAGGCAAAGCTACTGTATGTTCAAGTAATACTAAAGACTACTATTTACTCTGCTAAAGGTTTTGTTGTAATCATTTTTCTATGATTTTAATTTTGAGTGCTGAAATAATAAACAAGGCTAAAAACAAAATCTGAGTGCCATGCTGACCAATGTCATTAAAACTGTGAATCATCTCTACGTGTTCACCTGGAGAAACTATTAGTACTTTTCTAGCAGTACAACACATGGCTTAAGGATAAAAAGAAGATATAGATGTATGTGCCACTAAAGCTTCTGCTATTTATCTTATTCACCTGAATGCGATGAATAACTGAAACATATCTCATGAAAAACTTTGTTTTCATTAAAGTGTGAGAAAAATGTTACCTGAATTAAAATGTGGAGGTCTTTAATCAAAGCAAATTTTTCCTATGAACATGATAAAGCTTTTATTATGTCAAGAATCTAAATTTTAAAGCTATTCATCACAGGCCTAATTCTAGACAAAAATCACTACATTAACTACCTTCTTAAAATGAGATTTTGAAATAAGTGACAGAAAAAAAAAGAGTTTTTTTTTGCCTATAAAAGCTGACTGAACAGTTAGCAAACACCACCACCATCCACCAGTCACTCCATTAATCTTAGCTCGGTCACATGTGCATCCGTAATCAGCATTCCTTCCTCAGTTAAGACATGATTCTAAGAGTAACTCTGGGGGCTGGAGTGATGGCACAGTGGCTAAGAATGCACACTGCTCTGGCAGAGAGCCCAGCACACAAATCTGTATTCCACAACCATCTAAACGCCAATTCCAGGGGATCTGCTTTCAGCCTCCATGGGTACCAGGCATGCATGCAAGCAGAACACTGATATACACAAAATAAAGAAGAATAAATCCAGCCATAATATTTTAAATGTTAGATGATTCTAACATTTTTTTTTTGCTACCGTGTTGATCAGTAATGCTGAGTACAGACCAAATACATGATTGCATACATTTTGTCTATCCAAACATGAATGCTGCTTTTAAAAGTATTTCACAAGCAGTTCCTAACGACAGCATTTATTGACGTGCAGGGTAAAAACATTGGCAGATTATGCTACGAATATTTACATATGTCTTTCTCAGTGAGCTGAAAATGTCTTATGTATTTGTACATCAATCCCTGCAATCAAGCACAGATCATTTGCTAACCTCTGTAAAGACCCCACACCCTATCACCCCATCCTTACCTCTATTCCCCATTTCCTATCACCCCATCCTTACCTATACCCCATTTTCCTCCCTATCACCCCATCCTTACCTATACCCCATTTCCTCCCTATCACCCCATCCTTACCTATACCCCCATTTCCTCCCTATCACCCCATCCTTGCCTATCCCCATTTCCTCCCTAACACCCCATCCTTACCTATACCCCCATTTCCTCAGCACTAGACAGCCACTATTGTGCCATACGCCTTGCAGATGATCTGCTCTGCACACTTCCTGTAAAAGGTTCACACAGTCCTCCATGCTCTCCTCCTCTTAAGCAACGCGATGCTTCCCAGATTCATCTATGTTACGTTATTCCCTATTTTTACTGCTGACCAGGGCTCTATTGTATGGATAGACCACCTTTTACTTATGTCTTGAGCAGCTGATGGGCATTTCAGCTGCTTCCACTTGGTACCTATCACGAATGCTGATGCTCTGAACATTGGTGTGCCAGGTTTGGTGTGCACACACATCGAATTCTCTGTGTGTATGTCTAGGAGTGGGAAGAAGTAAAAGATCAGATGATAACTCTTAACTTATTGAGGAACTAGAAGACTGTTTATCCAAAGCAGCCACAGTACTTGACAGTTTCTCCAGGAGTGGGAGTGGACTCTTACCAAAACTTTTTAGAACCTGTCATTTTTACTATAGTTATTTTTTTTGCACTCTTTGCCAAGTGGGGTTATAGCATTAATACCTTTGCAAGGGTGCAGCAACAAAGAACTATCTTAAACCATAAAGAAGCCCGAACAGATATTGTACCTGCTGGTACCTTAACTGTACACTTTATCCTCTAACACTGTGAGCAATACATTTCCATTATACAAACTACCCAGCTTCAGGAACTCTGTTAGAGCAACAGAAGTGAATTATCAATTTCTTCTAGCAACAAGGTATTCGAGTTTATTTTCTGTGGAAGTAAGGAAATCAATCAATCCTCTAAGAGCTATGGTTCAGTTTAGTAGAGAATGACAGGAAGCGAGTAAAACCTAAGTTGTAGGTATGATCAGCTCTGTTAAAATGTTACTATTTCTAGGGTCTCTGAATGGCTGGAAGAGCCAGAAACCCATGCATGTGTGTCCACTAATAAATTACACTTACACTCCCATTCCAATTCTAATCCAACAGCACACAGCAATACTCTTCATTATAACCTCTATCATAATTTCAACAGGCAAGAAAATGAGTTTTAATTTTAATTATTCATCATGTATTTATTTGTTCAACACAGAATATGTATAAGGAGTTTCTGAACTGCATTTCACTTCACTAATGGAAACACAAGCACTACCACTTCAATACCTACATTAGTTTTTATCTTTAGTCAAAGCTAAATAGTCAAAATATCATTTTGCAAAAATTACTTGCAAATCTGATGAACTAACTCAAAATAGTTTCTAAATGAAAAATATCATTAGTAACTCACATACATATTTATGGGCTGTTTAAGTTTTCTGGTGTTCCAAATAAGATAGAAGACTGAGTAGATTTGTGTACATTAAATGAGTGTTTGTCAGACTGGGAAGCAGTGCTGGCATGTACTTCAACTTTTCTGTATGCTTGAAAATTTAATAATATATTAAAAATAAGCTACCATAGCAAAATTTACATTTCCTTCAAAAATGATTAAAACAGTTGTTCATTGCTTTATGTTAAATACACAATATAGTTCTAAGTGACTAACAAAAAAGCAATACTCTGGGGGGCCTCTTCTCATTATGTTCCTGTTTAAACCTAGCCCCTGAGGATTACTGACACCATCTTTAAAATTAGATGGTCAAAACAGGCTCAGGGAGACCAGAAATACTACACAGAACATTCTACTAATAACTGACAGGAAAAAGGAAATGCAAGCACAAGTAACACACAGAAAGGACCCAGATGTCATGGCAATGCTAAGTTCTTGATTCTCCCTTCCTACTCCTAATTGTCCTCCCCTCTAGTAACAGAAATGAAGGTTTACTTACATAAAGATTAGGTTTATCTCGATAAAGGTATTTAATAAATAAGAACTCTTCATTAACATTCTGCGGGTGAATATTGGTATATTTAATTAAACAACATGTTTGCAACTGGATTTAGCTAGGCCATCTCGGTTTTTTTGTTTTGTTTTTGTTTTGTTTTGTTTTTTTCTGAAATCCTTGGTGAGGATTTCACATGGCAGGTCCACCCCATTAACCAGTAACCACATTAGTTTCTGGGGTCTGCACTTGTTTATCTTTAGCAACTCTAAGCAAAAGAGCACACATTTTTCTAACACAGTATTCATCTAATCAAAACTCTTTAAAAGGTATTTGAAAGTATGCAAGAATGTCTCAAGTCTTAAAAATATCTTGAAATTTGAGTGGTTATCTGCTCTATGTACTTGTACATTTTTTCCCTTTTAAACTAGTATTTTGTTGCTGGTGGTGGTGGTTTTAGAAAAAAAATGCTCTGGATCTTGTTACATTAATGAGGCTTAGATTTTTTTTCTACCTCTAATTTCTGTCTTTATCTTTACTGCTTCTCGTCTTGTGTGTTATTTTTGGAATTAAACAGCCCCATCTGAGGATGAACACTGAATTCATTTTATTGTTTCTACTGTTTGACACTTTTTAAATTTTATTTTTTAAATTTATTTATTTTACATCCCAACTGCAGTTTCCCCTCCCCTCTCTTCTCCCACTCCTTTCACCTACCTCCTTTCTGCTCCCCATCCACAGTCCACTCCCTCCTGTCTCTGTCCATAAAGGGGCAGGCCTCCCATAGTATCAACAAAGCATGCTATATCAAGTTACGGTAAGACTAAGCACCTCCTCACCTTGTATTAAGGCTGGGTAAGGGTTCCTAAGAGCCAGCCAAAGCATTAGGGGCAGCCCCTGCTTCCATTGTCAGGAGTCCCTTAAGTAGACCAAGCTACAACACTGTCACATATATGTAGAGGGCCAAGGTAGGTCCATGCAGGCTCCCTGGTTGTTGGTTCAGACTCTGTGAGTTCCTATGAGCCAGATTAGTTGTTTCTGTAGGTTTTCTTGTGATGTTCTTGACCCCTCTAGCTCCTACATTCCTCCCTCCCTCTCTTCAGCAGGATTCCCTGAGCTTGGCCTATTGTTTGGAAATCAATATTGCAGTTTCTCAGAAAACTGGGACTCAGTCTACCTCAAGATCCAACGATACCACTCTTGGACACATACCCCCAAAATGCTCAATCATACCACAAAGACGCTCAACTATGTTCATAGCAGCCTTATTTTGAATAGCCAGAACCTGGAAACAATCTA